TAGCAACCGTTCAATCCACACAGGAGTTGCAGTCACTGAATGAGGAGTTGCAGTCGCTGAATGATCATATCCAGGCCCTCAGAACAAAGAGATCAACGTCTTTCAAACGAAAGGCAGGACGGCCAAAAACTCAGCTCTCAACTCTGAGTAACTTCGGGAATTTGCTCTCCTGGCTCTTATGTACCAAAAGCTTATAGCCTGGGCCGTCTAACGTGCCAAATTCCCAGGATCCGCTGATGGATCTGCTCATTGAAAGTGTGAAGGAACACAGCGTACGTGGTTGGTGCGTCAAGGATGGCGGGCTGTCCCTACTGGAGGAGGGCCAACCCATCACGGAAATGTAGGTTTGACGTTCATTCATGTATGATCTCAGGTTACTGTAAGTAATTGAGCTTTGACAACTTCAACGCCTCTTAGCTTCAGTTACTGACCCACTTTGTACCGCCCGATGGTCGAGATGACCGGTTGCAGAAAAGAGGTGGTCATTAGAAATAGCCCCGGTTGGTCAACCCAATTGACCTGAAGTGCCTGGTAAATTATTTCCACGGATAATTTGGAAAATGTGGAAAAACATTCTCCACAGTAGAGTGAATAGCTGAAAAGCCATTTGACTGTTTTATATGTATCAAGAGTCTAGTGTTTGTTTGTTTGTTCTCGCCCCCACGTCCGTCATGTCACACAACCTGTTGACATAGGCCATGTGCCATGTAATCCCCACTAGTGCAAGCCCAATGAAATGCCTCGTTATTTATCAATGAGCACCTCATAAAAAAGGGAAGACCATAAAAATGTCACTTCAGGAAGCTAAGCAACAGTGATGCAAAGTGGAAATAGTGGATGAATAAATCAATGCAACAAGAAATATATAAAACATGAATTTCCCATTACATCGATTCTTTCTGCATGTCAGCTATATAGCTGTCTATTGTGGTGAGTATTAAACTGTATTAGGCTACATGTGGTGAGTAAAAGCTGAGCATTCAAGGATAAGCTAAGCTGTCTGACTGCTCCTTTTAACCTTATGTTGTGCAGGTGTGATGTAAGCTGGAACAGTAGCGCCGCGTCGTCCCAGAGCCACGTAGGACTCCTTGCCACCAAGTGCAGCGTTCTATTGCACCTTCCATTCGACTCTTCTTCTTCAACAGAAATACAATGATACGTTCACTTTCAAGATATCGTCTCCCATTAAAAGTCAAAGACTGGTGATCCAAGTTATGAACAAGTTTCCTCTTCAAATTAACCAAAGCAGAATTTGTAGCCTATATTTACTTTGTTTGGACTTCCCTCTTCCAGTAGTTCCATCCTTCAAGTCTGTCCGCTGGATAAGCTGAGTCACTTTGCGCCCTATAAATCAGGCGCGAGAGCAGACCATGGTCAGGGAGGACAAAGACAGCGTCCTGTCATAGAATCAGTCACTTCCATGAAGGGCAGATTCACTGGGTAATAGCCAGTAACAGTCTTCTTAAGCAAAGTTCAGGAGAATGCCGTTTTCTTTCTCTATGATCACGACGGTTTGGTTTTAGTCGCTATGAGTCATCATACGCCGCCACTGATTCCACCGCTTTAAGACTTTGCTTATTCTTATTGCGTTAGCAGTGACATCATTCCTGCTGCGTGCATTCATTCGAATTTGGGAGGTTAAGGTCTCCGTTTCCCCACAAATGCTATTATCTCAAAAAATGACATTAGTCTCCGGGTGAGTTAAAGCACACAGCACAATATTTTTATTTTCAATGACAAAAACCATCAGGTACACTCCATGCATGCAAGTTGCACATGACATTTACCAGCATCTGTGTGTACATGATAGATGGATATATTTGTTGAGGAGAAAGACTGTATCTCATCCTTACTCATCATTTAATACTACAACAAATTGTATACAATTGTATAAATTGTATTTATTTTCTATCCCGCCTTTGAAGTCCCAACATCCCCTTCTCATCTCTGCTTTGCCTTCAGGTGTTTGCGTAACCTACAGCGCTCTTGTGCTTGTTGTGGGAAATTACCCCCGGTGACAGAAATGTCTCTGCAGGAGGGGAAACGTCCGGACGAGAAAGTCTCCCCCGTCTCGGACGGAAACCTGCAGCAAACACGGCCGGTGACGCAAAAGGGGCTTCAGGATTATTTTTGGACCGAATCTCCTGTCAGGCCCCGCTGGTGCTCCGTCATTGGGTATCTGACATTTAAGCGGAGGAGATTGGAGCATTTATGAATCCATGTCGGTCGAGGGCTGGAGGGAAACGCAGAGCCTCCGTCGCTGTCACCTCTCAGATGCCGGAATTAAATCCCAACAGTGATCTGTGCCCAGACATTCCTCAGACACGTGGGTGTGATTGTCTACATGGGTGAATAACTGTCTCTGTTTTGGTGATGAACTGGCAAAGTGGCCAAAGTGTAAGCCTGGTGTATTCTTGAACATGGCTGTCTCCAACGGGGGGGTTAACCTGGAAAGGAAAGAAAACAAATAGAATGAGCGAGTAGAAGAGATCGACAGAGACGCATTAAGGGATGAAGTTAAAAAATCCCAAGATTTGATTTCTTCATTCCTACGGAACCAAACAAAGATGGGACACGGGAGCTTTTGTGTGTTCTAGTCCAGCCTTTTATAGCTTAGTTTTTAGATGGAACTAAAACCTCTAAAAGTGTAACTTCACCCCGAGGTCAGAGGCTCACAGGATGCATGTGTGAGATTGGAGTCGCTCAGGGTCAAATAGCGTTTTTTCATATAAATTCCATGACGCAGATAAGTCCCGATAGTTAACATCAACGGCATTGATCTGTTTATTCAGTGCACATGTCATTCTGTGTACGGCTTTGATGAACACGTGTAAAGAGTGTAAAACGTGTTATTAATACTTACTTTAACATACCTTGTTCCTTCAATCTGTACAAAAAACACATCTCAATGGTTGTCTGGTGTCACGTCATCATCCACCCATTCAGGCAGGAGCCACCCAGCGAGGTGCCACTGGCTCATCAGAACTATCCAAACATTCAAGCAATGACCCTTTACCAGCTGTGGGTGTAATGATCCTACTTGATTTGCAGCCATTCTTGAAGATTCTTTTATCTATTTTTTGTTTTTTTCATAATTCTCTTTCACAATATGCCTCCACTGCTTCCGCCTGCTTCGACTCGGTCATCCCAATCTGTATGTGAAGATCAAACATCGTGACCAAGATCCCGTCGGCTATCCTGGTTATCAGCGGGGAGCAATCAGCTTTAATTCAGCACAACGCTGAGGGAGAACTGGATGAGACGGCACTGTGCATGACTTTTTTAATGGGAGAAGAAGAGCATGCATCCAGCTGTCTCTGCCTGCGGTGTGGAAGGGAAGTTGTATTGTGACAGAGCATCCTGTGTTGATCTCATTTTCTCCAAACATTAAATCATGGGCAGAGGGCAGGTTGTGAGATGTGTAACAGCAGCGGAAAAAAAAGACGAGTGACATGGCGCAGAATGGGATCGCGTAGCAAAGAACGGTTTTCCATTAAGACGTACACAGAGTGAGGGCGTCACACGGAAGCTGTCGCTTCCAGAGCCGTCTGTAAAAAGATGACAAAGGCTGCTTTTATTGTTTATCCTAGCACATGTGCACAAGGATGAAACAAAAGTATATATGATGCAGAAAATTAAACTTAAACTAAGTTAGTGCAGGCTCTGTCTTTGGCATGACGAGATTAACATGCATGTGGATCACAGGAAAATTATTAGATAATTAAATAGACAAAGAGTTCCCCCTCCGCCTTGATGGTTTATTACCTCTACATGGATATTTGAGCGTGTATATGACATTAACAGTGAAAATAAGGTAACACCTTTAGTGTTTGGCTCTGTAAGAGGCGGTTTCCCGTGTGGAATGGTTTTTGGCAATGGCCCACAATAGTTTCAATCAGGAGAGGCGAGTCACCGAAAAGAAAAGATAATAGCTCATTACAAACAGATGAGTGTTATGATGAAGTTTCCACAGGGGCTTTGGCACGGTGAGATTTGTAATCGAGGGGCGTCTGCCCTGACGAGAAGCAAGATAAATCCCCCCGTTGGAGACTCGTGGTGGCGGCTGATGAGGCTGACAGACCGATGAGTTGATGAAGCTGATAGAGATTTGGCAGAGACGGGACGGCAGAGGGGTGAGTAACAGCAACAGCAACGTCTTATTTAAACGAGACAGGAGTAAGGTGAAACGCTAACGATGTAATTGTTCTGTCTCGGATTGACGAGGCCAGCTGAGATTGTGATTGACGGCCCCGAACAATGAAGAAAATATCATTTTTTTATTTAAATCTGTAGAATGACTCAGTCTCAATGCGACATATGTGGTCATTTTATGATTTATAGCTATGAGGTCAGAGTGGTGACATTTTGTTTTTTTAGGCTCCACTTGCAAAACTTTGTCAAGGGTCCAGGAGCTCTAAAGGCTCAAGTACTACACAAAAAAGTAACATTTCTGTTTTAATGGAAAACGCCCTCACTGTGTCAACACATCCTTTAATGTTGGGACAAAATGTTTGATGACCAGCTGGAGACACGTAATGTTTTACATTAGTGTTCCTCTCAATGTTTTTTTAGCAATATGGCTTTTTTTCAAATCACAATTTTAGTGAAGTGCCTATTTAGCCTTTCCTTTCTGTGTCATTGATTTTACAATTATTCTGCTGGTGTGATATGATTTGACCTCAGTGTTCTTTGGACAGCTTTGTTCAAAGTGGACATATTTGGTACTGTGGTAGTATTTTAACCCTCCTTATAATGAGCACTGCAAAGTGCACATTGTTCTGTGCCTCTGTCTGCTAATACTCCCTCCCTTAGAAATATTACATTATTAATATATATATATATAATTAGTAAATACAACTTGCATATTCTACCAGTAACCTAAAATATAAATAAAGTATTGTGTCTCTGAACACTTGACACTTTAAATAAATCTGTGCTGTTCATGTCTTCGGTATTCTATAAAAAAAAAGTATTGAGTAATTGAACGAGGCATATTTGAAATGGTAACGATGACATAAGTAATTCACTATTTAATGTTTAAGTGCATTTGTGTTTTACTGACTTGATCCTTTCTGGGATCGGATCACATCTGTGAGAAATGAACCACAGCAAACCGCTAACTATTATGCATCACCTCTGCGTCTGTTTCCCATTCACACATGTTTGTTTTTTTCTCCACAATATAAGCGTAAACCATATTAGTAAAGGTATATATGGTGATAAAGGGAGAACCACATATATGATTAAAACCTGAACCTGAGACGACCCGATTGGATACGGAGCTCCTCAGTACATGTGAGCGTGGTGGACTGACTCATAGCGCACAGGGATGTGGGAATCTGCAGATCGGAGCCTCCTAATGTGGTGCACGTGAATTCTGGTTGTATCCAGGAGATGGAGATGAATATGATGACTCACCTGTCCAGAAGGATACAAAGCACTGTAAGATAGTTATTGTTCATGGCAAAGTACAAAGGCTTGTGATTATGAAAACATATTCTATTAGAATCCATCTTTCTCAGCCAGATGTTATCTTTCTCAGAACATCACACACTCTAAGTACTTCTTTTCATCTCTCACTGTGTTTAATACATCAGTCGGAACTACGTTCTTAGATAACTATGATTTAATGGTATTTAAACAATGGCGCGAGGCATTTGGAAATTGGTACAGTGAGGGGGGCCGTGGTTACCGGTAAGGGTCCGGGCGCCTCTGCCGGAACACGTTGGAGAACCACTTTCTGAAAGCACTTCAACAGATTTCTCTGTTCATTCTTGAACAGCTTCCACCTTTACACCAGTTTATACCTCTTACGTGATCTATTCTTATTGGTACTTCTCTCTTTGTGCTGCTGAGGATCAGTTAAGATCTTCTTACCATCCAATCGATGGGTGTCTTAGCGTAATTGAGAAACTTTTAAAAAGCATAAAAACCTTAAACAATGAATCCTGCCACGAGTCCAAAATATATCCCCATTTCCTACGATTAAATATTAATGTCTTCGTCAGTTCAAATAAATTGGTAAAACAATTTAACACAATTAAGAGTTTAAGAACTTGAGGAAATGGGTTTCCGTTTCTTTCTTCAGACAGAGCCAGGACGGCTGTTTCCCCTCGTTTCTGTGACGCTAACAAGCTGCAGACACCCGTTTCATATTTGACAACACACCTAGCAGAGACTGGTATCAATCTGCTCAGATAACTTTTGGCAAGAAAGTGTTTGGCCAAAAGTACTGTGGGTTCGAATGAAGTATCTTTATTGAATCCAAATTGTTTTCAGCTCACAGCTATTGATACAAATTGATTACATTTGCAGTCCATGCACATTATATGACCCTTACAGTATGAAGGTGTTTTATTTCACGTAGCGTATGCAGGTTTTTCATTGGGGATTCTGAAAAAAGGAAATTATGTTTGTATGAACACATGACTGGGACACATCAGAGTCACGGTCAGAATACTGGTGCATGGTTGGTTCAATGTCCATGATATCCTCAATCGCTTTCTTTTTTACTTTTATATTGAAATTAAATATAGTTCATATTATTATATTATATTGAACAGGAGGTGGGATGGTCGTTAAATCAAACGCATGTATGTGCTTCATAATCACAACCTCAAGACCTGATTTTCTTACACATGATTATTTTGAAAGCATGGATCCGTCCGAGTTTTTTGGACGATAGATTGAAAGTGATTGATTAAACCGGTCTTCTCGTCCTCCCTGCAGCTGCACAGAGGAAATGAGGCATCTCCCTCTAAGTTACAAAGTCCTAAAACCCATCGAAATAATGGACTATGATTCATGCATTTTAGATAGGACCACCAAATTGGCATAAGTGACAATGAAGACACTGTCCCCTGAGTGTACACGTTGTCCAGACAGACCAATGTGTGAGAATTGACATTAATAAGCTTAGTTCATTCAACAGATCCTTTATCCGTGGCTCAATTTTCGTCCTTCCTGCTATTATTCCCCTTAAGACGGGGACTGCATATGAAGTTGACAGCCTTTGCTTTTCCTTACTGTGTACTGTCTACTTTTCTTCCTTACTAAATACTGTGCAGTTTATGACATCTGGATACATTTTATGTGTTTATGTGAGTGCGTTTGCACGTGTCCACCTACGGATATATGATATTATGTTGGGAGACTAACACACTTGTCAGGATTTCATTGGAAATAACACTTGTTAAACCATGCAGTCTTACTCTATGAACTTCAATATCTAAGGTTTGTCAAGTTAAATTCCTGAGATCTCCAATGTCTTTATCAAAACAGAAGTATGGATGGGCTGTATTTCGACATTTCACTCCGCTGAGAACTCTATCTAATTCTTTCCAGTTCTTTGTGCCATTTAATGTCCTTCACCTCAACACTTGCAGCTCTTTCCCTCCTTAGACATCTTTTTAGGGGCCTGTTTTTTTGGCGAGGAGCGGTTAGAGTTTGGTGTTCTGGGACATTAGACTTTGTCGTCCAGATAAACCATCGGCAACATCTGTTAAAGATAGACAACTCTGTTGGACGATTTTGGTGTGGACAGGGAATAAATTGGCGGGGTCATAACCAGGGAGGATAAGTACAAAATGTTAATTTAGGTTGTTAGATGTGCCAACATTTACACAAAACAATGTGTGCAGTAACATATGAACCAATAATAGGAAGAAATAGCAACAACGGTGAATAGATATTGCTCCAATTTATCGTAAGTAACACTTACATGTACTTTTCAGTCAAAACACATCTGGAATGAAACAAACTCTTCTAAATTCTGCTCATCTTCTCATCTGGCTCTGTTACTGCTGGATAATAATGGCTGTAGGCAAACAGTATAATGAGATTGCTCACTATGATCTCATTGTTACTGTGTGTAGTCACACAAAGGTCCCTGAATTAAGGAGACACTGTCTGTCTGTGATGTAAGCAATTTCCAAGGACCACAGTGGAAGACTTGGCATGATCTGCAGCCTTTTAGGATGAATGGACGGGATTTCTGTAACAGAACGGAACTAGTCGCTGTGAAAATGGCAGCATGCATAAACAGGGAGTGATGAGAATGTTATGGAGTACCCTGAGGAGTATGATGTTGGTTTTTATCTTGCCTACATAAACAAAAAGGGAACTAGTTTATGATAGATTTGTGATTGGGGTGTGCTTCCCAAATCTAATGGGTTCCTTCTTGGCCCGGGCTACGCCCCTCCACCTGGATGCACAGAACACCGTGCCAGTAGTTTTCTTGGCGGAGTAATACTTCCTAGAATCTGTTGCGCTCTTTAGCCTAAACACCTACATTTCTGGCTACACCCTTTGAGTAACCCACCTTTTTTTTCCATTTGAAATCAAATCTGTTTCTTTGGGAACATTTTGTGACCCTAATGTTTAAAACAAACAACTCAGTAGCTATTTTCAATTTAATTTGGCTTACCACTGTCCATTTTTATTGCAAATGGATGTGTTTTGACGTGCTAAAGATCAGAATCATGGGTTTATGGCCAAGTACTTGAAGAAATATTCCTTTGTGATAGAAATAGAAATACGGGCAATTACTACAAGAGTCAAGAAAATAAATATAGAATTTTTATAATCTGTTTATAATCAAACAATAAAATAGATCTTTTTTAAGAGGAAAAACAGCTAAGATGTTTTAATTGGAATGATAAAGTTAACTGATGCGCAGTAGCTACTCTGAAAGCAAACTATGACGAAAGAATGTGGTCATCATCCATCTGAGTGTGTACTGTAGTAATTGATACAGGGTGATCGATAACTCTCTGAGAGTGAGTCACGGAGTTTCAGCTTTTTGTGGCCTATAGTCTGTACCCTGGAAACATATTGTATTCGATCAAATACATTGATAACGGTTAAGTGAATACGAGGATATATGTTGTATGAATTTAAAATATATGAAAGTACATTGTTTTATTTTAATCCTTATCAGACACTAGGCTTTTTATTTCACCAGCATGTATAATATTTCGGATAAAATATATCCATATAATCATATGTATCACACAGATATATTCATAAGCACACACTGAGTGACTCACTTATCCCTCAGCATCCGTTATTCCAGTTTTTCCCTTCACTCTCCCTCTCTTTTCTCTTATATTGTATTACAGAGCATGCCTGGTCAGTGTGACTCACCCTGCAGAGATATGCTGCTACAGGACTCCTCCACCAGGTCAAAGCACGCAGCCTTTAATCCCTTGATAGTGTTATAATTAAACCTCCTACCACCGACCATTTATGTGTATTATAACACATACTAACTGCTAATAACACTCTTTAATCTAGCTGTAAGCCAGTAAAACAATTACGGTGCTTATTAATGTGCGGGAAATCAATATAAGGATTCATTAACTGGTGTTTTTGTTGTCAGCATTACGAATTCTTCGAATGGGGGGATGTATTGTTATTATTCGTCGAAAGGCCTCCTCCTAGTGCTCCTCTTTTCTCCAGCCTTCTCCAGCATTCACCTTTCCTGCCTGCCTTTTAAGTTTTAATGACAAACGTGTCAGCAAAACGCTCATTTAGCCATTACAAATCAACCAAGGCATTCCTTTGGAGACAAGTTTGCGGTCATCAGATTAATCTAAGTTACTCTCTTTCAGAACACAGTCTTTGTTCTCTTCCAACTCCTGAGGAAAATCTCTGGTTCGTGAGTTACTAACCGCAATCACACCGGACCCGTTTGTTCACAACTACCCACCTGGGGTGAAATGAAGTCCAGCCACTCACCGCTGCAGCTGGTAAAATAATCAACTTGTTTTTTCAATTTTGATATTAATGTCTTAAATGATCAGGTTCAAGAAGCTTTTGGCAGTGAAGCATACAAATCTTTTTCTCTTTTGAAATGTACCTTCTTTATTCTTGTTGTCTTGGGTCTGTTTCCTCTTAAATGCACTTATTGTAAGTTGCTTTGGATAAAAGCGTCAGAGTCAGAACATTTGAAATGTAAATGTGAAAACGGTTCTTATGAGCATAACATTGCAACAAACAAAGAATCCCAAAGAGCTTCACCAGTGGATTGTACACCACAAATGTTAAGAAACACAGCAGCAGCAAACATAAACGGTACAGAAATAGTGAGAGAGAACATTGTGACAGACAACAAATAATTTGAGCTCATTTCCTTTCTGTGCTCAAGATATAAACTCAAAGTGCATGATTGTTTCTGGCCAATACAACATCTGCCTAGTCACATTCCCTCAAATGCACTGAAAAAAATGCACGTTGTGTTTAGTTGCACTCTCTGTCACTTCATTACAATTAAGTTCTACGGATCCAGGCCAGCCATTTGTGAGTGGGAGGACGGCTTGTAGGTGAAGTGTTGAAATGCTTTTCATGCATGAAACCTCCACGTAGATTTGTTTATTACGTTGAGTGTTGTAACTTCATCAGATAAATGCAGCTTCCCCTCAGAGCCACTAAGGACTCAGATATTCCCCTTTAACTGGATGAGCAGCCAACTATTGGCCCAGTTAACATTTTTGAAACCTCCAGACTTGGTTTCATTATTTTATAAGAGTAAACAAAAAGCCTAAATTAAGAGCAAGACAACCGTATCAATGAAAAAAAAAGGTATATAAGGAAACATACATTGAAATAGAAAATTGAGTTCTTGAAGGTAAACAAACCATTATTACTGTTAACACAATAAATGGCAACTTTCTACTCCGATACCAACATCAATTCAATCGGGGGAGCCTGATTACCAGTGACAATATGTTTATCATATATATGTGTGTGCGAAATTGTTCTGACCCACTGGTGTCTAGGAAGCTGATGGTGGAAGAAGCAAGGAAGGAAGTACGCCTTAAGTTCTGGGTGGAAAGGGTAAAGAGCAATTTGAGGAATCGTCTCATATTTTGAGGAATTTCAACTCCTGCACCATCACTGCCTGCTACGGGTTCATTACCAAGCTAGACCATAAAACCCTGCAAAGCGTGGAACACGTGGGCAGTGCACAATCTTGCTGATCTATAATCCATAACTCTATGTGCCATCAGTTTCCCATCTGTAAAGTTTTGGCTGAAAAAAGACCTGTGTGAACCTCAACTTCAGCTCCCGCATTGACATGATTCATCTTTGATGGGCCTGTCAGTTTCTGGGCATGGATCTCAAAATGTTTCTTACACTTGTGTTGTAATCCTACTGCAAAAAACAGCCTCACTCATTGACAACTTTTATCAGTTTTATTGGAGGCTTTACCTGGTTTTTCCAACTTGGAAGCGGACCAACTTGATTATTTATTACCCAGACTTCATCTCCTTGTTCGTTATAGCACTCAATCTCACAGTTCACCTGCCATCAGGTTCAATGAGTTGTTTCTGAGGTGCATCCTGAAGGCACCATTTCCAGATCTTTGTCACGCACGCTGTTCTCCACCATTCGGCCTGAACGTTACGGTCACCCTCTTTCTTCCTTTCATCCACAGCGTTTCCCCCCCAAGGACTGCAGCTGACTGGGTGTTGTGCAACGTACCGTTTTACATGTCAAAGCAGAGGAAAGCAGCCATATCTGAGATAAATCAACTATTAGTTTTGGCTTTAACTTTTGTCAGAGTGTAGCAGAGCACATCTTTTGTTTCACAGAGAAACTTCTGAACTTTTCTGTGACCGTTTATACTTTTAAGTGTCAAGAAAAAAGTTGAGCTGGTTGCATCTGAGATCTACCTAATGCAGTGGTAACATGAAGCAGGCATCTTCAAGGCGATGCCTGTGTGTCCAACAAAAGAGATGGAGCCGTGACAAATGGCAACACACAGACACACTACCTGCACCATTACAACTCACTCATTTCTCTCCCTCCCTGTCATCTAATAGCTTACCATGATGACAAGTTTACAATGAATGGGTCCCGACAGATGAATGCATAGAACACCCACACACCATACATCAAATGCATTCAAAGACAGTGCGAGTTGAAGAAAAGAACACATCGATGGCCACTAGGACCTGTGTGATGTCATCTAGTTTATACTGCTCTCTAGTGGCGTAGCAACATCCTCAGGTCATAACCGAAACCATAGGGAGGTTAAAGCTTTGACCGTAACACACTGCTGCAGTGTTCAGACATAAACAGACCCCTTTCTTCATGTGGATGATTAAACTTGACTTGACATGCTGCATAGCAGTTGTGGTGTATGTACCTTAAGTTATATTAGTATATTTCAAACTGTTTTGAAAAACTTTTCTCAAAATAAAATTTCTATGAAAGCTGTTTGGGGCTTGTAAATCTCTACATACTGCATATTCTGGAATAGAGCCACAGATTTGATTTAATACACAGATATTCAATGCAAATGCAATGCAAACCATTTGGATTCATAGTGCCATAACAGGCAAAGAGGGCAAAGGATTTATACTTTGAGTCTGAACTCCTTTCTTGCTGAAAATGATTGCTGTTGCCAGCAGTTAGAGAAACAACAGCAGACAAGTTTGACTCATTCTGGGCACAAGTAAAGAGAGCACTACACTAATGTATTTGGATTTGAGTTTAGACCACAGTGGCCTGCTGAGGATTTATTTAATAAACTAAATACGTCATGGCTTTACAACAAGATGCAAAACAAATGCTGAGGCAATTTTTGTCAATAAACTCTTCCGTCATCTTAGACAGATAATAACCAGTTATGGATTTATGCCTGACCTGTAGTTCTCCTTACATAAATAATAATGACAGCATGATAACAAAGTTATTTTTCCTCCTTTTTCCCTGATACATATAACACCCTTCAGGCGTCTTAAATCTAACTTAAGAGCTCTCGAAATCATGAAAGTAATTTTAAGACACGTTCTTTCTTTGTGCATTTCAACATTTTTAAAACAACATTACATACGAAAAACAGTAAATTTCCTGTGGTCCATTTATATCATAAAGTAAGTATTTTTCCGGCATCTTTCAAAAGTCTTCACCAGAAACAAACACCCAGTTGTAACCAACATCAACGAACAATGCATTTATGGTCATGGAAGAAGGAATCTACCTTCTTCCTCCAAAATTCAGGATTAGCAAGGCCAATACATTGACTCTTAATGCCTCCCAATGGAGCCCATTCGTACGCAGGGAGAGGAATCAGTCATTCTTCTCCCTCTTCGCTCTGCGGGCCTTTTGCTTGAGCTGGAGTGTCTTCAGCTCAGTCATAGTGGAAAATGTCCTGTACACCCACACCACCTGTCAATGAACGACACGAACGTTTACACAACGTGCAATATCCTTTACATTGGATCTGATGTGACAAGGCTGAGGATGGACAGTAAAGCTTACCACAATCATAACTGTATTCAGCAGAAGAGGAATAGAGTACACCAAAGATATGAACATGCCCTTGGAATCAAAGTACTGGAAATTAGAAAAGGACCTGCAAAAAACAAATATACTTCATGAAATTTTCTTAATGAATTTTTTTACATTTAATTTTTAACATACACGTTATTTCTTACATAAAAAATAGCAAAGAATTTATTTTTCTGAACAATTGACTTACCTCCAGTTCATGGCTGCCAGCTCATTTAAATATTCAGCACTGTACACCAGACCAACTGTGAGGTAGAGATGTCAGTCAGCTAACACTACAGCCACAACACTCAAGTGGATAATCTTGTTAAACAGATCCAGCAAGGTTTACAGAATTTACTGACTGTTAACCGTTTTTTTAAAATCTTATTATCGTGATCGTATCTTTACTGGGTAACACAAACTGTAATACACATTCAGTATTTGGCCTTAATGGATCTACAATAGGAAATTCAAAACTACATGATCAGACAGGGAGATACTTGGTAACATGACACTAGTATGCATGAATTAAATACATTACATATTCTAATGCTTTAAGGCCTGATTAACTTACTAAAAGTGTGTATTCATTATTATTATAAATAAAAAGGTTACATTAGGCCTGGGTTAGTTAGTGAAGGCATCTCATTTATTCACTTACCCATGAGCAGGAAGTGACAAATCTGAGCTCTGTAGTACCTGCACGTAACCACGGTCAGAAACAGACACACAACATGAAACACCAACAGACCGATCAGCCATGACTCCGACCACTGCACCTGTGAACAGTAAATGGAAGCACACATTGGGCAGCTGTCAGTGAAAGATAACTGCTCCAAGTGGGTAGTGATGGCTCATTAAAAGGCGACATGACTATTAGCCCGGGATAGCTAACGTTAACGCATAGCTAACATAGCTAGCCCCTCGAGGCAGGAAATAACAACTGCAACTTACAGACGTGAGAAACGTCCATATGGATGTGATTCTTAAATTACTGAACTCGTCGATGGGAATAGAGCTAATATTCTCTGCTTTCTGGTCCGTCATTTTCGTAAAGCCCTGCTTGGCCAGAGCGTTTGTAAACAAGTCCGGGCAGTTTGTCACAGAAAAATTACGTCATCTATGCGACGGCTACTTCTTCTTCTTCGTTGGGTTTTACGGCTGTTGGTATCCACGTTGCATTGCAGACACACTCCCTTTGTAAACACGGTCAGTGCTCAGTGTGCAGCTCTAAAGCCGTTTCTTCAGTCGTGATGTCCTCAAAAGGCATTTTTTGAGAATATTGTGTTATTATTTTTCTCCACACTACACACAAAAATACAACAAACTAAGCGCAATGTACTTGATTTCACTTGTACGCACTAAATTAAATAATAGTTCTACACAATTAAATTAAAAACAAACACAACAGCAAGGTGATTTCATTTAAGTAAATAAAACAAGTTAGTAGAATTAAGTAAAATAAGACTGTTATTGATATGCGTAACGCGAATGTGTTTTCGTATTCGTGAACTCGTCAAACCACGCGAGATTACGCCGGAAACAGTGAGCGCGAATTCGAGTATCCGTTGGTCCTCCCTCCCGTCCATAAGGTTGTGCAGCTGCCGGAAAACTAAGGTAGGTAAACAGCCACTTCATAAACAAACGTGGCAGTTCTCGCTACTTCTAACCAACGCCCAGCTGCGGTCTGGCTTAATATTTTTAACGGCCTATTTGGAATACAGCGTCAGTTAACCGCCAAGCTAACGCTAGTTTGTGACGGCTAACGTTGAACCTATGTACTTAAAGGTAACCTTGTCTTGTTTGTTGTTACTTTCGTTTTCGTCGTTATACTTGAACAGCTGCCCCTACCCTCCCATAGGTCGGTCGCTAGGTAACTGAAACTTAGGTTGGGGATCCAAGATGTCGAAAAGGAAAAGCAGCTCTGCCCCTAACCAGTCAAACAAGCGGGTCAGACCCGCTGCGGAGGAAGAGGTGGAAGATGAAGATGTCGTTGATGAAGACGAGGGAGCTCTCCAAGTAAATGGGGAGGTTGGTACCGTCACTCCAACTATGTCACACGCATCTGAAGCTGTTGTTCCTGCAAGGAAGTCTGTCTTTGCAGATCTTCTGAGAATCTCCCACACCGTGGTTCATATATCGTTAACCTCTGACTGTTGTAGAGTAAATGGCCAATCTAATGCACCGTTCACCTGTGTTTACATGCAGTGTGCTCGTGAGGTGGTGAGCGATGCAGGAATTGTGGAGAGCATCACGCTTAAGAACTTCATGTGCCACTCTCTCCTCGGCCCGTTCACCTTTGGTTCCAATGTCAACTTTGTGGTTGGCAACAATGGAAGTGAGTGCAACCGCTGAAGTTTTCCATGACGCAGGGTAAACTGAACTGAATGGAAACGCGTGCCTTATTCCCATTTTAGTAGCCAGGGTTTGTCAAGATCTGTGCCATGAACTGTAACCCTTACACAAGCATTGATAAACTGTTATGTTGAATTTGGTCTTTTTTCCCATGGTTAAATGCCTGCTTAAAAAATCACATGAATGAGAAAGAAAACTCACTAAAGTTGGATCTGTTCAATTGATTCAACATATATCCTGTATTTTTGTAAACTAAAGTTTGGGCTTTACTCTACATCTGAGTTAACCTTCGTTCTGGAATATGTCTATTTCACGTCCTTGTTATCTTTAATTAATTTATTTCATTCATATCCGCTTCAAAAATATTTCTCTTTTGTGCACTAACTGCTTATACGACAGGTGGAAAGAGTGCCATTCTGACAGCTCTCATAGTGGCCTTAGGCGGAAATGCACACGCTACAAACAGAGGATTATCCCTGAAGGGTTTTGTGAAGGAAGGAGAAAGGTAAACCTTGCACCACATCAATGTAGAGTAATCCCCTTTAGACATGCACGTTGTTGTTGTTGTCTTTAAAGAGCGTTAGTCGAGGCGGACATCCCATTAAATCATCAAGTATCTATTATCTTTTCCCAATGAGAGAGTAGGACTCTGATATCCAATCGTGTTCGACATTTTGAGAACTTGTCTTTAAGGTTACAAAGGGGCAGAAAGTTTCCAAGAATCTCTGTATGGGAATTTAAGCTTGGGAATTTTTACCGTTTGTTTTTCAAAAGCATATAACGGGGAACTTAAATGTAGTTGAGAAGAAGACAATGCAAGCCGGGCTCAGCTGGACCCTCGATGCATCTGTCTGCCAGAAACGTAAACATAAAATGTTCTGTTGTTTTTGAATGTCTTTGTCACTACCCAGCATATTGATTACATTACATTACATTACAGGTCATTTAGCAGACGCTTTTATCCAAAGCGACTTCCATTACACTTTTAAACCCAAGGCCTTTTCACATTTTTGCCCGGGGAGCAATTAGGGGTTAGGTGTCTTGCTCAGGGACACTTCGACGTGGAACATGGGGCAGCCTGATTACTTGGTAAACTGAAACCATCACAGGGAATTCACTATTTAATTACATTTTGTTTTGACAAAATGTATGTATATATGACAAGATAAAAACAGTATAATTACCCCAAAATGTCCTGTCTATTCCCAATAATTCCCATATGGTCTTGTTAATTCCAGAATTTTCTCGTTAATTCCCATGGAAAGTTTCCAACTTTTAATATTCCCGGGATTTTTCAGTCCTACTTGTGTTTATAAATTGAATCATTTTAATTGCAATAAATGATTGTGTGTTACTCTGTCCTCAGCTCTGCCGATGTATCAATCACCCTGCGTAACAAAGGAAGGGACGCTTACAAACCCGAGGTGTATGGCCCAGCCATCATTGTAGACCTGAGAATAACACGCGAGGGGCTGAGAACCTATAAACTGAGGGGCAAATCAGGTAAAGACTTATGAAGAGCTATCGATGACTCTTTTTTTCCGTAAGCATTGTGGGAAGAGTTCTACCAAACTGTGCTTTCAATAATATGTAACCCCCAAGTATTCATTTTAAATGTGAAACTCTATGTGAAACATTTATTAACAATTAATTGATTTGAAAGCTAAATATGAATCTGCAACTTTTTTGGTAATAAATTCACCATTTAAGTAAATGGTTGGTGGCCATTCTTTTATATGTAGACATTTTCTGCTCTTATAGCTCCGTATCTGGACACAATGTAAGTTATGGCAATTTGTTAATGGCGCGTGAGGGTCTGGTCGTTTTTCATCAATTTCTGACATTGATAGACCAGGATTGGTTTACTGATGGGTAATGATGAATGCATTCCTATTCACAATACACAAAACAACAACAACAATACACAGCATAAAGAAGGACTGAAAATAAAAGGGAAAACAATATCAACATTGCTAGTAAGCAAATAACTACTTTTGATAGCTGTCTGAAACCATTTAATAAATACACACAATTGTTTTCCTCTTGTAGGGCAACTTGTCTCAAGCAAAAAGGAAGAGCTGTTGTGTGTCCTTGACAATTTCAACATACAGGTATAAGCTCATATGCAAATCACAAACATGACAATGTTTCCTAATCTTCATTTCAACAAATTGTTATCATGTTAGATAAACCTGTTATTGTATGTATGTAAGTGATTATCACCTTTCCTCTAAAGGTCAACAATCCCGTGTCTGTTCTCACTCAAGAGATGAGCAAATACTTTCTACACTCCAAAGGAGAGGGAGATAAATATAAGGTGATTCTATTAAAACACATTTGTTTACTCATTTGTTTTTGTGAACTTCGTGTTATATTTTAATATTTATTTTTTTCAATTTTCATTCCTCTTATAGTTTTTTATGAAAGCTACCCAACTGGATCAGATGAGAGAGGACTTTGTGTACATCAAAACCACCAAGCATGTTACAGAGGATAAAGTTGAGCAACATGGTGAAGTAAGAATTCTCTTGGTGGACATATTCACATCGTAAGCTGCTAAAAACCAAGTCACGAGATAGATATCTACCGGATGGATACAAACACACCTCCAAATGAATGATATTGTTGCTCGCTAGTTGTGTAAATAAGCGACTGTCTGCATTAAGGTGATAATATAGCAATGTTTCTACTGGTCCAACGTGTCAAAAAAAATATTGCTACAAGACTGTAGTGCATTTACATCACTGTTGCAGTGCTTGAAAGACTTGAGGCGGAAGTACCAGGAGAAAGAGGACCGCTACAAGAGCATGGCCTCTTTGGATGAAATGCACACCAAACTGGGGGACTTGCAGAATCAAATGGCTTGGGCTTTGGTGAGATCCCTTTCTCCTATTTCTACTCCCAATTTGGAATTCCAACCTCCTGTGTTCACTCCCCCATGTTCTTTATGATAAAGGGTTAGTGCAGTAACTGCTTCTTTATTAATTAATACTTCGATATTACTGACAGAGGCTGAGGGTGATTTCAAATCATAGTTGATGTTAGATGTGAAAGCAGCTTTACCCGTAGTTAACGTTATATTGCAGGTGATTGAGATGGAGAAGGAGTTGGAGCCAATGAAAGTGAAGCTGCAGTCGGGCAAACATTCTACAGAGAAGTTTGATGAGAAGGTGGAGGAATGGAAGGTATGACATTTATTTTAGTACTCTCCCTAAGATCAAGTATTTACTAGTTATTTAATAACAACGTCTTTTGTTTGAGCACTCCAACCACAACTTTGTGCTTGCATAGCCATCTTCTATCCTCCAACCTTCAACCCTCATCCTTCTCTGATATGTGTTCATGTAATCGTGCAGAATAAGGTTGAGGAGGCTGAAAGTAAATCCAAGCAGATCCAGGAGCAGTTGGAGGGCATCACACAGCAAGTCCAGGAGCTACAGCCCGAATGTGCCCAGCTCAAGGTTGAGGCCCAGCGACAAAATACTCTTCTCAAGTCTAGCGAGGTCAGAGTTCAGATAATGCATACAGTCCATTGGTACAGTCGCTTTCATAAGTCTACCAAAAGCTTTAAACACCATCTTAATCACTGTATTGATTATTCCTTTCTGGTCATTCGAGTGATGACTGTTGTGTAACTGACGAGTGTTTCTAATCTCCGATTACAGGTCACTGTCCACAGATTCAAGGCTAACCTGAGGGACCTGGAGAAAGACAAGGATCAGCTATCCTCACGGATAAATGATCTTAAATTGAGGTATGACCTCATTTATCTTCATATTCA